GCCACTCGTAAAGGCTCTGATGGGCATCCAACACCTGTCGTCCGTCTCTACGGGAGTTGATTCACTCACTTCCTTCCTCGCATTCTTGGGGGCCACAACTCGTGACTCCTTCACTTGGCGTCCCACCACCGGCTTTTCATCTCCGTCTTTCCGATCTACTAACTGTGTCTGAGACTCCTCTGCGAGTTCAATTTTCTGTGGCCTTGGGCACGACTCCCATTCGAATGAAACCGCCGAATTTGGTTCGGAACTCGTGAAAAATTTCTTTGACTGCTCATCGTAGAAACTTCCTAAACATTCATTCATCCATCGAGCACTCAGAACCATGTCCGTGTCCATCTCGTGGTTCTCCAAGAGTACTGCTGGGAATGTCCTCTTCAGTCTCCCCAACTTGATTTCCACCGAAATTAATCCCAACACTTCGACATCTCGGACATTTCCGTCACATCTTCCAATCAAGCTTCCGTTGAACTGCAGTATAGCTGGCCGTGGCTGCAACGTCTGGTAAGCGTCCAGTCGCATCAAATTGCCCATAATCTCGTCGTCAAGTTCGGTATCCATATACACACCATTGGCGAATGCATTCACAAACCTCCTACGAGTTTCAACAGATCTGGTTCTCCGCCCTGAATTCAAATTGACTTCCGTTGCGTCCTCAATTTTACCCTCGCTAGTTACGGAACCGGAACATTGGGTCTCAGCGCGTGCAGTAGGCACTGTTTCAACGCTACGTAGTCTTGATGTGATGCCATCTTTGCCAACAGGTTCTGCCAGTACACCCAGCCCTTCGTGGATCGGCTCGGCTAGCTTGGTTTTGTCTTTTTCTTTGCTCGTTGCTCTTGGGACTTCGGGGTTTCTGTCCCCGTCAAACACAACTTCGAAGTGATGTGGGATCATGTCTTCACAATCTTCGGTGATCACCTGAACCGCTTCTTCCCTTCCAATCCGTAGCACCCCTCTGGGACTCTCGAGGAGCATCCCGTGTCGTCCTTCCAATTGTTTGAGGCTCAGGACCACGCCCACTTCTATCTCAGTAGCCGCCACCACAACAACATCCAGCCGCTCGGTGAATGCCCCAATCTGCACATCCACTTCAGCCTGGCCCAAAACAACAACGTCGCTAACCTGATCGTCCCAGCATTCGTGAATTTTCCCATTGAACGCCTGAAGCTGAGGGGAAGATTCTAGGATCATGAAAGCACATACATTCATCATGTCTCTTCCAACTCCATCCCAACTAAGAGGTTGTCCACGAACCCATCGATCAAGTGCAGCTTCGGGTTAACCTCGGTTGGCACTTCAGCCGCTTCCAGCATCATTCTGCTGCCCGATGAATCGTCATTATCACTTCGTCTCGAGTGAGTCGCCGTAGTTGAATAGGGTTCGACCGGCGTGGTCCGTTCGCTATCCATACCCGTACTCGGCTTCTTCGATTCTTCCCCATTCCACATTGATACCTTCTTTTTCGTCCCAACTGTTTCTTCGTCCAGCGTGATCATTGATGTCTTTGGTAGTTTCTCAAAAACTACTGGTGTCGGCTCCATTAGGTTGCCCTCGTGACACAGCGCTCTTTTTTTGTGGCTTACGAATAGTTTGTGACAATCCGCAAGTTCCTGAGCACTCAGGACTACATCTGAATCGAGAACTCGGTTACTGACAACGATCAACATGAAGATTCCCTCAAAGCTACCGAATCCGACTCTTGTTCTGATGTATACCAGGGCCTCGACCTTTTGTTCTTTTCCATTGAATGTTCCTTTCAACTTTCCATTGAATCTCCGGACAGCGTCTTCGCACCCGAGGGGTTCAAGCAAACCTTCGGATATCAAGTTGCAATCTGTCCTATTGTCAATCTCAATGTCCACTATTTCGTCACACACACTGCCCCAAACGAAAGTTCGTCCCTTTTTAGCCAACTCCGATCTGGGGGCAAAATGTTCTCCTCCAACTTCTCCTGTCAGCACTCTGGGATATTTGGAGGGAGCCATAGTCTGCCTCATTCTGCTTTCACCCATGGCAATCGTCTGTCGATTGTTCGTTCGCAATGCTCGTCTTCACACACAAATCGTCGTTGCAGCTAAAATCCAGAATAGCGCCCACCCAGGAGCGCCACTGTAAACGTGGGGGAATTCACAATATCTCTAGGCCGGCTTTCTCACACGTTATCGTCCTTCGCACCGCCGCAATATGTTCCCTTTAGTACTGGGGTCAGTGGGGCAACCGATTCCCAATACTGTTTACAATCCCAAAAGGGTTGATTTGGTGGTTGGCTTCTCTGTATCTTACTATGCTGCTTGCCCCGTGATCTGTGCTCTTCCGACTGTATCTCACTTGTCAATCAATAGTCGATCGCAACAACAATTCCAATAATAAGACTGAATTAGGAAATAAATATAACCAAATACAGAGTAGCCTCTAAATGGCGGAAATATCAATTAGTCGTTCAAATAAAGAATAGGACTGCGATTTGTATTAATTAACTAACCCCCTGCTCACTGCAGTTCAATTAACGCCTTACTAGTAACTAACTAACTAACGTTCTCCTCGAGAACTTCTTTCAATATCGATCGTTCAACAACGATCCCACTATCCTCTAGATAGCCTAACTTATATCCACTAACTAACTAAATCACGTTAACAAGTCTTCCAACTTGTTCCCACTTTACTTTGAGAATAAAGCGACTACCTCAACTCGTAGCCCAAATTGTTCTCTCTCTAACTGAGAACCAACTATACTCTATCTCAGTATCAATTATTCTCTCCCGGTTCGGTGGTTGTACTGTTCCCTATCGCTACTAACATTTACTTAACTAGCGGTCACTCAGGACTTGTCAGCTGAATCAACCATTAGGTCAGCTTTAATTAAATATCATTCACTTAACTAGCTGCCACTCAGTTAATCAGGACATACTGAGCAAACATTGGGTTCAACTGCAAAATCAGCTCCCAATCGTATTTGACAAATGAACCCTTGCATGATTTTATTTTAGTTCTTCCTAACTTTTTCCCTTTCCTATGAATTGGGTAGTTCTCACTCAACCGGTAATTTAACTTCCGTGATACTTGAAAAGTTTCCATTTTGGTCATTTTAATTTTATTCCCCTAAGTCCAAGGGCTGGGTAATTCCCTTCCCCGTGTCCGTTTGGATCCGAAAAAACACCACAAGAATTTATTTAATATGCTAGGGCTGTTCATAAAATCTTCATCCCGAAATTCCCATTTCCCCCCATAGATGTTCCCAATTTTTGCACGGGGCTGTATTTTTACTTGTTTGTCGTTTTATCGAAAGTCCAACTGGAGTGGGTTAAGCTGACCCCAATGTTTGCTAATTACAGAAAATCACTTTCGCTCGCGTACAAAGGTCAAAACTAAGAAATCTTTATTTAGGGGCCTCCCCTTACCTCCCCAGGTGGGTAGGTAACCCTTTACGGGTCCTTACAATGCTAATTTATTACTTTTTAGGGGGTTCTGGGGTCTTGGGGTCTAAAATGCCAAACGACCTCTTAGAGGTCATCCGAGGTCAAATGAGGTCAAACGCGTCCAAACGTCTTAATTTCGATGGGAGATCATTCTCACTAAGTTTCATTCATATCGGACCATCCCTTCCCATATTTTCGAAAATATTGGGTCAATTAACATTTTTCCCTAAAACTTCCATTTTCACCCCATAGGAAGTTCCGGAGAGGATTGGATCGCTAGATGTCCCCCTACTGGGTTGGGCCCCCCTTCACATTGGTGCATTAAAATCACAAGTCAATTATTACTATCAGGTGTTAATAGCCTTATTCAATTTTCAAGTGCTAATAGCTTCCGACGTAGCCGCCGGATTGGGTCCAAACATTGATACATTATAGGTCTTCCCCAAACCTACCATCCCCCCAAGTTTCAGCCTCCTAGCATCATCAGGGGTCAAGAAATAACAAAAAGGGGGTTTTGTTTACATAAGGCGTAAAACCGGAAGTAATGACCGGATGCGTTCAAAATCCTAGTGGTCAACTTCCCTCGCCTAGGGCTACAACATATTGCAATATGAAGTCATTCTGACCATTAGTTACCGGTTTACAAAAAGTGCTAATTGCATTTTCGGAAATCATTATCACTCGCCCCCCAGGGGTCCCAGGGGTCTGAAAATTTGCATGCCCGGCTAAAGTCATCTCTATTAGTCACCCACCAATTTTCATAAGGATCGGACGAGTGGTTCCCAATCCGGGGGGGGGGGGTTTCCAGAATTTTAGCGCTTTCTTCTTTTTTCCAATTCTTCGCCCTAGAGGCCAAATTCAAGGTGCAAAGTCCGATTACGATTGTTTGCTCTCAAACTAAGCTTATCTATCACTGAAATTCATTGCTACAAGTTCATACAGTCGACGTTAAAATCAAATTTCGCAATTTTCAACCGTTTTCATCATGAATTACCAATCCTACACCCAGGTTTCTATAGCATGTAATACAGTAGAATCACCAATTCTACAGAGGGCAGTTTCCGAAAATTCTAAAGTTTGACTTTTCCCAGGGTCATAAGTTTTATGTCAAAACAATTGGGCGTATCTGCTTATGCAGCGAAGAGCCCTACAGCCCGTTCTACCCATTGAACTAAAATCTCAGTTTTGTGAAGGTAGTTTTTGAGAAAAAGGAAAAATCCAAACACTTGAGTCAAACATTCCCTCACACACTTTATTTGAAGGTTGTAGAAAGTGGGTTAAGGTAACAAGAGACTGGGGAATTATGCAGGCAAATTGTTACATATTGTTACCACTATTCTGAAAACCGGTACAGCAGTTTCTGTGAAAAAAAACTTTAGGGAAAAGCGAAAATTTTTTCCAAAGCGTCTCAAGGAAGTCAGTTATACTTGAAAAACATAAGCTCAGTAAATTTAATAATACACGAGTTCATTAAGAATATCAACGCCCCCTACTATCTGGAGAAAATTGCACTCTTACGACTGAAAAATATTCTTATATAAATTAAAACTTATTCAACTAAAAAGCCAAGTCCATACTTACTTCAATGAGGTCAACTCTTTCCATTTTCTTGATGGTATATTGTAGACCCAGAAGTCACTTAGAGTGTTTCCACTTGAGTCGAGCCCTCCCTGTAGCAATAGATTCTGACTCAATTGACCTATCGGAGACAGGACTGCCCATGACCTACCGTTGGGCCACTCATGGTCATCGATGCGACGCCATATGCGCGACCATGTGAACGTTTTCATATCTAGCGAATAAAAATCCTTCATTCTGTCATTGGATAACCTCCCACCGAATATGTAAAACGTATCTCCTAATTTACAGCCGGCGCATGCTGCTCTGGGTGGAGGCTGCTCGCCTTTCGTAGGCACCAAGCTAAAATGGTTTGTTTCAACGCTGAATTTAACTAGACAGCTGAACCATGCTTTTAGATCCATCAATGCTTCTCTGTCTGAGTCCATAATGTAATGGCCGTATAGCTCTGAAGAGAACGAAGGAACAGAACCATAGCCCCCGAAGAGGTAAATCGAACCTTGATGGACAAAACTTGATAATTTGTCTCTTCCTGAGGGGTGCGGCTCTGTGATTGGGTACAAGAGTTGATCACAGCACGGGAAGACGCGGCGCCAAATTTTGGTTAAAAGGTCTAGTCTATAGGCTTTCTCGTTGTAATAGTTCGCCTTTGAGTACCCGCAGAACACATAGATGCAGTCGTTAACAATGGCGCAGGCAGCCGATGAAAGGGAAGGCGGTGATTCTCCATAGGTGTCTTCCAAGATCCATTCGCATGACTCTACATCGTAAAACCACAGCCTGCGCGTTGAGTGGTATCGAGACTGGAAACGAAAACACCTTTAAGACATAGAGACGAAGCGGAGCTTCGCACCACTTGCGATACAACAAGAAAATAAAAATAAGTCGAAAAAATTTTAAAAATTTTTGTAGGCGAACCAAAATGCTGGTATGTCTCAATGAAAGATATCTTGGGGCCCAGCTAAAGCTAGAGGAAACTGTGTGATATTTTTGAAATTTTTTCTACTGATGTGGAATGAAATGGGTATTTTCAAAAATTTGACTTTGCCGAAACCTTAGTTGTTTCTGTACTAAAATAATTGAGAAGACTTTAAATTTTTGAGCCATAGAAATCTTCCGAGATATCACATTTTTCTTACAAAAATTTGAGGAGTCACCGCTTCTGTAGAAAAAGTATCGCAAACGGTTCTTTCTATGAAACCCTTCATTTCAGATTTCAAGGGATTGTTTTTAAAAAAAGTCAAAAAGTTTCTTAAAACTGGTACAAAAACCGAGTATTAACTTTTTTGAGGGCCATATTTTTTGTGTTTAATTTTTTCAAGGAAAATCCGGTTAAGCAGAAGCGATTCACAAAACCTGTTGTTTCGATTGAACGCGACAACAAGATTTGGGAGAGTAACTTTCGAGAAAAATCAAATATTTTCAAAATACGGAACAAAAACCAAATTATAACTTTTTCGAGAGCCATAACTTTTGCGTTTAAAAAAATTAGGCGCAGTCAATTATTCAGGGGAGCATTGCACAACCCATTAAACCAATTGAGCTCAAATTTTCCGATTTGGGAAAGTAGTTTTCAAAAAAATCAAAAAACGGTCAAAAAATTTGACTTTTCCCAGGGCCATAGTTTTTTGTATGAAAAAAATGGCCCAGCCGCACAAGCAGAAGAACTTTCCACAAAAAAATATATCCATTGAACCCAGAATCTCATAATTTGAAATTTAGTTATTGAAATCCCCCAGATATTTCGAAGGCTGTCGAGAGTAGGGTAAAATGAAAAGGGATTTCGCGTAATAACTCGAAATCAAACCTAATTATCGCAATTCAAAAACCTCTATGTAATTTCCTGTTAGTAACACAAAAGCCTGGCATGTCTCCGCACCACATGCGATAGATGAAAAGAACTAATTACAGGGGTGTTCAAATTACATTGCAATTAAATGAATTGATTGTTGATAAGCAAGAGCTTTTTCATTCATACCCTATTTTTAGAAAATCGAATTTGTAGTTTTTACCGAACTTATAATTTGCAAAAATGAAAGAAAAAATTCGAAAGAGTCTCAAAAAAACTAAACCCACTCCGATACATTTTCATACTGCCTGATTTTCTCCAACAGGTACTTTTCGACCTTCGAACCTGAAACCGTTAAGTCGAAGAAAAAATTTAAAAAATATTCGAAATCAAACCTGGTTAAAATGACAAATAACAGAAATTTAAATTTAAGTAATAAAAAATCAGAATAAAAAACCCAGACTTTACAAAGCAGGCCGATAACAAATAGAACTAGAAAAAAATCTGCATTCCGATTGGATAACGCTTGCTCATCGCGAGCGTAATAACTCGAAATCAAACCTAATTATTGCAATTCATAATCTCTATGTTTTTCCTTTTAGTAACACAAAAGCCTGGCGTGTCTTCGCACCACATGCAATCGATGAAGGGAACTGATTGCAGGGGTGTTCAAAATTATATTGCAGTTAAATTAATTGTTTGCTGAACGCCTCCAATTTCAATTTATTGATTGATAAAACCAATTAATATTTTTTTATAGAAATGGGGCCGACTTATCTCCTGAAAACTTTGTAAATTTAGTTCAGAAGTTGAACATCAATATCCATTTAGTTTAATTTTTTAAATAATTGAATTTTCGTGTTGCAGTCAATTTTTTAACACCCCGGACTGATTGATTAAATGAAAATTTTTAACCAGCTAGTCGGACTTTTTCTGTTCATTTTAATTTTCAAGCGGAGCAAAAATTGAAAAGACAACAAAATTTGAAGAAAAAAAAATGTACTTTTCCAGATGAATCTCAGAAAATAGAAAACCAACACACAATTTGGAAAACATCTGCTATTTGAAAAAATCAATCAAAAAACTTCAAAAAAACAATAGCAAAACACAACATAATCTTGAACAGGACAAATCGGTGCCTCGGTCAGCTTAGCCTCCAGTTTCAAACTTATCATCAAAATTAAAGTGTACGATATTACATAAAAAAATAGATAAAAAGCTCTCGGTCAACCGCTTGAAAACGCAAGCCCAACACCTCGCTCCAAATTCTGTTCTCATATCGAAAAAACTTTTCAGTTTGTTTTACTTTTTCCTGAAAACAATCTTTGTCAGGCAGGGTTGCAATGTTTAAAACAGAGCTTGTTTGAAACATGTTTTAAACACGTTTAAAACACTGTTTAAAACAACACGAATTTCAGCGTTTAAAACAACGACTCATTATTGGTCAAAATTTGAACGCTTTCTGAGCGCGTCATACAACTTAGAATCATTGGAAAATCAATTACAATCCGAAATTTCATTCCGGTCAAATGGTTCGTAGCAATATCAGTGATTTGTAAGCCAAAATATAGAACCGTACTAATAGTGCTTATATTGCGAGACCTCGCTTTACATCCTGGTTATTCTCCTCCAAATAGAGCACAAATTGGTGGTAATTTACTCGATTCTGTCTACTCCGATTTTCGAAAAATTACTGCAGAATCGCTAACGGGTCAACTCGTCACTTTATCAGTCGACTGTTGTCCTGGTGAATAACTAGATTTCAACCACAGAAAATATGATAAAACCGCCTCTACCGAGTGAGGTACGATGGAGCAGCTGTGTTAACTTTCTCAATTAGTATTTGAAATCATGGACATTTTTTGAAGCAGTATGCTGATCGGAACCCCGAAAAATTGAGAAAAAGTCCCGCAGCTGAAGTACCGAAGTTGTTAAAAGATATCGTTATGTACAAAAATGTGGAGGATGCTTACACTGTTCTCAAACCTGTAACCGAGTGCTTAGATCTTATGCAATCAAACAAAAGCACATTAGCCGACGCCGTTTGGGCATGGAAAAAACTACTGGACAGTTTTCGTGAACGAGGCATGGAACGACGAGACTGGTTGGAATCCGCTGAGAAAAGGTATAATCGTTCTGTTCCGGATTCGTGGTTCACTGCCTATTTGTTATGCCCATTGTATTTCGGCGAAGATTTAACGGAGAACGAACGCAAGCGTGCCATCGACTGGATCAAAGCGAAGCATCCGGAATGCAACAGTGAAGTCATTAACTTTATTGGAGAGAACTTACTGGTTCTAAAACATGAATGCCAAGAATATACAGACAAAAAAGGTAAATTTTTTGAACTATCAAATAGCAATGGGAAAGATTTCGAAGGAAATTGGAGAAATGGCCTCAAAGATGGAAAAACTGTTCCCCAGTTCAGCTGGTCTCGAAAGAATGTTTTCGACAATGGGCTATATCCAAGACGACCTTCGAAACCGTCTTGGCATGGAAAAACTTGAAAAACTACTTTTCATCAAACGTGTGCTGAGCAGCTAATTTTGTCAATTATGTATGTTTTTTTTTGTTTTAAACATGTTTAAAACGTTTTTTTTTTGTCAGAATCATATATTTTTTGCAACCATGTTGTCAGGTTAGCGCTTTCTGTATTGTTGGCATTACAATAATCAACATTTCGGTGCCAAGACGATCACGTTACCTCTTAGCCATTTACGTTAGACTCATGATTCGAGAGAAAAAAGGCTAGTTCGCGATCACAAGACACTCTCGCAAAGTTAATGAGCATCGAAAAAAAACTAACGCAGCTGTGACTAAACTGACAATACTTAACCAGTTTTAAAGATCGGTGCCTATACCTCATAGATTCATCTCTTCTTAAAATTAAGAGCACCCTTCGTCCCACATTCATTACGCAATTTTATGTGAGATATTATGTGAGGCGAAATGTATAATGGCACTGAAAAACACAAATTTATTGAAAGCCCTACAACATCTACAACTGAAAATGAGAAAGTATAAGCGAATACTTAAAAACTCCTACTTTTTCTATTGCAGGCAAGTTTAATGAACAAAGTGGGATTGAGTTTTTGGTATTGTCGGGATATTTTTTGACATAAGGAGTCAATGAGAAGCTTGTTCCACGCAGAATGTTTGGTGAGACAGTCTGCCAACTGCGAGCTACTAGCGACCCACAAGGGTTTGTTTTCTATCGAAAATACGGATCAGCATAGTTTGTTCATTATCTAATTGTTTTACGTTGAGCCAGCTTTAAATATGCCTTTTGCTTTTCAGGCTCTGTTGATGACAGTGGCTTCTCTCCAGTCTCTTAACTCGTCGCGGATGTTGAATTTATCTCCCGATTTTTCATTTTCCTAACCTACAGTGCCAACATAGTTTGTACGGACGCTTCTGCATTCTTGCCGCAAAGTTCATTAGCTTTAAAATAGTCGTTCCATTTTATTTATTTATTTACTTATTTCATTATCATTAAAGTTCATTAGCTTTAAAATAGTCGTTCCATTTTAGCATAAAATCATCCTTAAGGGTTCCAGGTAATTAATTTTCCAGTTGTGCGGTCAGAAGGTTCCGTTACGTCTGTTTTCCCCTCGGAATCTAATGTTTTTTCAACTGAACATATCCTGCAACTCGGTACTCGCGTCAAGACTTTTGCGGGACCTTTCCATTCACTTCTACATTCCGTTTGAAGTAAACTTTCTGACAGGCTCGAAAATCATCTCGTTCGGGTCTCAGACAGGGTGACAGAGAGCGCGGTTGAACTTTTCCCGTTCCTCACAACAACAAGCGCTGTAAGGTGCCGAGCCACTGTTTCATTCATGGAAATACGTTGAATTGCAGGGAGTTTATTGCTGAGCATGCTAGGTGGATTCGAAGATTGTCCAACACGAGCTTATAGGGCGTGAATCTAAGAAGATTCTGATGAGCATTGTTCGCATTGACAGCTCAAGCGAGCGCCACATCCAGAGGCATATTTTTGTCTCACCAGATCGC